CGCAGGGGGGCCATCAGGTGAGAATTTGGGGATCAACAGAGGTGAGGCTCAGAACCTCACCCCCCCTGCTTTGAGAGAAATCTTCTGCATCCGTGGATGTCTTGCTGCCCTTGTCTAGCCTGGATTAATACTTAGTCCATAGGCACACACCTGATCATCTGATCATCTACATTTGCCTTCTTACAGCACTAAACTATGTTTTCTACCTTTATCTTGCATCTACCTACCACTTCAGCATTTTATTAAAAATAAAAATAATAATAATAATAGGAGAAATGTGGGATCAACATATAAATCAAGTACAAAAATCAAATGAATATTCATATTTGACCTGATGGTTTATAGGTCATATTGCATGATCAAAACCGAAAGTTTCTGTGATGAATGCCCTTGTACTGTTCACCATGTAAGAATTTATTCACTATGTAAGAATTCGTTCACCATGTAAGAACTTGTTCGTTATGCTTCAGAACATTGGAGACTGACGAGAATTACGCTTGAGATGGATTAATGATTGTACATTGAGCGTTGACCCCCCTATACTGAATTTTATTGTTGTTAACAACCATTTGATCAATAAATATGAGATGCCCTCTCAAAAAAAAAAATAAATAAAAATAAAAAAATAAAAGAGCCTATGTAATCAATTGCTCTTCTTGCTGTTCTTATGCAAATAATCAAGCCAACTGTTAATTATTTTCTTAATCTGGCTACTTCTAATAAAAATGAGGGTGATTTTAGAAAAATGTATTGTTTCAATAATGCAGTCTTATCTATACTAAATTCCAATAGTAGTCATTGAGATATAAACTCGATCCAGAATTCCAGTCCCCCATAATGGCCTGTCTAATGCCCCTACTGGGCCCCTTAATAACAGTTTGTGGTTTACTCTTAGTTGCCCCTTGTGTCCTTAGGTTCCTCCAACAGAGGCTAACCCAGATGACCCGGGTTGCCACCAACCAGATGTTACTTGACTGTTATGCACCTCTTTCCACTGAACCCCCTCCTTCGGCCTAATACCAGCCTCAAACCCCCACGATGCCCTTTGTCAGCCGGAAGTAGCCAGATTGAGTCATCGCCCATTATGACCAAAAGGCTGGAATGTTAGGCTGGAAGAAGGAAAAACAAGGACATGCAAACAGAACAGAGAGATGCCATAAGGGGAGAACAGACCAGACCCCAAGGTCCGTGCCTTATATGGAAAGGGGACAGCTCTTCCTGAATTCCATCCTTCTGATGAGCCAACTAAGACCAGGATGTCAGCCTCCTCCCTCTTGGAAGGAAAAAAAGTTTCTAGTTGTCTATTATGTCACCTTTAGCCAATCATACCTCTCCACGCCCTCAAGGATAGCTTGCCCACTCCTCCCCCTCCTAATCCCTTATAAGCCCCCACCTCCCTGACCGGGTGTGACTTCCCTGGCCTGTAGTACCCAGACCACAGAACATCACCTGGGAGTTGCACTCAAATAAACTACCTGGCCCTTTGTTGCCTCTCTTCACCTGCTTATTTCGGCTAAAATTTGTCTTACAGGAATGAGACAGTAGGAGACCTTGAGACTTGAGTTGGTGCATGCACTGTTCTGGGTGAGACAAGGTTTCAGGTGGGAACATTTAAGGACTGTCTGAAATGACATATTTTGAGACAAAGAGATAAACTTTCTTCTCTTTCTGTGAATGGCATCACCTCCTATCAGTCACCCAAACCTGAAATCTGGGTTGGTCCTTTTTGGTCTTTTTTCCCTCCGCCACATTCAGTTAGCCATCAGATCCTTCCAATTGTATTTCCTAAACATCTATTCATTTCAAGGGCTTTGGTTGAAAACCTTGAGGTTGCTTATAGCAATTGGTCTCAATCCTGACAAGTCCCACCCCTTTGCCCCATGTCCTTTAAAATTCAAATCAGATCATGTTTCTCCCTGGCTTAAATTCCTCCAATGGCATCCCATTACTTTGAGATATAAATTCCTTAGTAGGGCAGACAAGCTCCTTTGTATCTTGTCACTGTTTACCTCTGTACTTTAGTCACAAAGTTCCCTGTGACTAAAGGTCCTTGGAAAGACCTTACTCATCTCTTGGATCTTACTCTTTCAATATTTCTCATATCGGTAGAGATGTGAAGACTCTTATTTTCTTCCCAGGAGGAATAACTGTCAGAGTATGAGTTGAGTATGAGTAGCTCCCTCTGTATATTCCTGGCTCAGAACTTACCACATGCTTCCCCCTCTAGCTTGAGAGCTCTAGACAGGAAACACTTTATTCCACCTGCAAACTGCAGAGCCCACTGTGGGGTCTGGCCAGAGTACATGTTTAATGAAGAATGAATGAATGCTGATGGTAGGAGCTGGAGTGGAGGGTTATGAGTCAGAGGCCAAAGTCCTGGATGAATATGAATGTTTACTAGTTGTGTTTTGTGCAGTCTGGTTTTCAACACCATCTTTTAGGGAAATATCCTTGACTACTAGACAGCTATCCTGCAGCCCTCATCCTGTACAAATGATTGAGTGATCTCACCCTCCTTTTGGCTTGCCAGGGACCTGTGTGACCTGTCATGGGCTGGGTTAATCTGATTTTCTCTTGAGATAAGGGAATTGGGAAACAGATTAAAGTGATAAACTCCAGGCACATATGTTGAAAGGAAACATCAAGAACTGTCAAGAAATATAGAGAAGTTGCAAAGTCGCCCTGAAACTTATTTTTATGACTTGGGCAATGTTTTCTAACATTTGAAAGGGTTACCAACATTTTTTTTTTTACCAACATTTTAAAGTTGGAGATTTCACATTAAAATCTGGTTCTTTGGCTTCTCTTGTGAAATCTGAAGGTATGATATGACAAAAACTGACTCTCGCTGAGCAGTACTCAGAGCACATTGCCTTCACTATGGCTGCCAGCTGTCCATAATGCTTACATCTGGCCAGCTTCTTTCATTTACCTTATCTGCTTGGCCCCTGTAGCTATCTGACAACCAACTTCTTGAAAGAACCAGTAGAAATGAGGGATTATATACCACCTTGGTTCACAGGGGAACAGAACCCATAAGAGAACAGAGAGGAAACTTGGTGGGAGTAGGTAGGTAGGTGAGAAATAGAGAGGATACAGCTGCCAAGAGAGGGGAAACCAGTTTCCAGAGATGCCTGGATTTCTAGGCTTCTCTGTTCCAGTACCTGCCCACAGTTACCCTCATCATAGCTCCCTTTTCTTGAGATAATTTGCAGTGCAATTAGCCAGGCTAATGCAGGGAGTTACTGGGAAATTGGTGGATAGTAGCAATGAGAAAAGTGAGACTGTGGTATAGCTAGATGGCATTAACCTCAAACAAGAAGAAATTCTTGCAGGAAGGTGGAATGTAAATTCTAAGTTGCTGTAAAGAGTTAAGACCACCTGTCTTGCCTTTGCAACTATGTATCCTGGCCCAGAAGGATCATGGAGGGGGTACCTCTGCTGAAGAGGATGTATAGTCAAAAGTATCCTCAGAGGAAATCAGAAGCATTCTGGGAAGGGCTGTGGCTCTGCAGGGTTCCAGGTCTGGAGGAAGGGATTGGGAAGTCTGGGAAGAACTTTGTTAGAGTTAATGTTTGTCATTATAACCTTTAACAGTGTACTGTGCCTGGTAGTTAACTTTCACCGTGTATTGAAAAGAAAGGTCTGTATTCCAGTAATCAGAGAGGGCTTCCTGAAAGAGGTGACATTTGAATTGCATTTTTAAAGAGATTAAATGGAAATGCTTTACAGGCTGTCTGAGAAGAGTCACAACTGCAAAGGCTAAACTCTAAAGGGGAGTAGGCAGTTTGCTGTTAGAGTTTGGTGTCAGTGGGGTTGTGTTTTGCCTGAGTCACCTAGCAAGTTATTTTTATACCTTGAAGTTAAGTTTAATAATAATAATATTGTATTTCTTCTATTCTAAGACTCACTGTTCTCACCCAACCCCACTTTTAATATTTCTTAATTTAGGACATATCTTACAATTGAAACCCCAAAATGTTTGCTTTACCACAGGGCAAAAATAAAAATTGTGACAGTGTTACCACTAATTGGGTACATGTAAATTTAACCATCCACAGAAAGATGTCCATTTGATAATTAGCTCAGTTGAGTTATTTGCACTGATGTTGCCATGCAGATGAATTTTATTTTGAATCCTGAAGTGTCACTTTTGGTGTCTCCAAAAGGTTACCCTGTGTTGAAACACTTAAATAAGTTCTTGATATACAGATTAGTTGTCATGTACCAGGAACACAATTAAATGTAGAAATGGCCAACTCTCTAAATTTGATGTAGAAGTTACAAATCTACAAGAGGTTGGTTTGACCAACTAAGTGTCTGAGGACATGGAACGTTTAACTGATGATAGTTTCCAGTTATTAAGAGAAGCTGTGTAGAGTTCAGGGATATACATTTCAATTCAAAGAAGCAGCCAAGCTTATACCAAAGAAGAAACATAATAACGTTTTTGTATTCTTTGAAATGTCTCAAATTTATACTGTTAGTTTCTAAAGGTGCTGAAAAGATCAAAATATAACCACAAGTTATGAAAAATGGCATGGCCTCATGCTATAGTTGGCCAGCTGGTCAAAGATTTATTATGTAAGACTTTAGACAGTGGAAGTGAGAAGGTTTAACCTTAACCTTTGATTATACTACTGAAGAAGAAATAGGTACAGTTACGATGATAGCTAACATTTGCTAAATGATTACTATGTGGTTCTGTGTTAAGTGCCTTTTGAGTTCTTACCTATTTCAACCTCCGGGCAACTCTACCAGATCAGTGGTGTTATCTTCATTTTATAGTGAAAAAGCTTGGAGGTAAACGCAGGAAGTTTGCCTCCAGACTCCCACGTAGAGCCATTATGCTGTTAGAAAGCCCTTACCTGTGCATTTTTTTTTTTTATGGATACGCCTATGCTTTTTAGGCTGGGTTAAAACGTATACATTTAAATATAAGATGTCCATCATAGCTTTTACACTTAATGTCATTTTAGAATCAGAAGTATAGTAAATACCTGTGTTGTAGGATTAGTGTGAGGATCGGATGCTGAGTATCTTGCAGTGCTCCTAGAAAAACTGGATCAGAGGGCAGGTATTGCAAGCTGGCGTTAATTTGCCTGATTTTCAGAATCCTATCATTCTACAGCTGGCGACAGTTACTGAGAGAAATGTATCAGTAAGGAAGGAAAGTCTGTGGTTTTGAGAGCGGTTCCTCCCCACGAAACGCCCACATACCTGTCTAAATCCTGATCTTTCGATGCCCACCCAAATGCTAGCTAGCTCCTACGGGAAATAGTCTCGTTATAAGAAAAGATAAACGTGGGAGATATTTCCAAATTATTAATCCCTCAATAAGTGAGGGATTGATTTTATCATTAAAGCTACCCTGGCTTTTCTCCTGGCCAAAGTTTCTCTAAACTGAAAGGAAGCAGCGTTTAGCCTCTCTCTTCTTTTCATAATTTCTACTCCTAATCTCTTCAGATTTCTGCGAAAGCTGCCTTAAAAAGCAACTGTCTTTCCTCAGACCTGCAGGCGTCGGCTCCTCCGCGTTGGCAGCTCTGCAAGGTGGGGTTGGAGAAGCCGAAGAGAAGGCGGGGGCTCGGAGGACTGGGCGGTGCTCGGGCACGTGACTTCCTTCCAAAGGAGCCTCGGCTGCCGGCCCCCCAGCAACCGGTGCGTCCCGCCTAACGACGTCCGCGTATCCTGGTTGGCCCTCAGGGACACTTGTGGCAAGGTACCCACGGTCGCGCTGCTCATTGGCTAACGCTACCGCCGCTCAGGCGCGTTGCCCGAGCGCCCGCAGGCGGTGCTACCGGAAGCCCCTCCCATTGGCCTCCGGGTTCCTGGCTGGCTGGCGGAGGCCGTCAGTCCCGGACCTTTTCCTTGAGGCCGGTTTCTGCTGGGGGCGGGAGGAAGAGGGGCCGGACTGGGGCCTGACGTGCAGTCGCTGCCGTCGCGGTCTTCGCGGCTATTATGATCAGCGGGCGACGCGCCCTCAGCAGCTACGCCCAGCGCTAGTCGTGCCCGTTTGCTCGCCGTAGCCGTAGCCGTGTGGGTCTCCAGTGCAGCCGCTTCCGCGACTCCCCCGGCTCTTCTAGTGCAGCTTGCAAGGCGAGGCGGAGGCAGGATGAAGATGACGGTGGATTTCGAGGAGTGTCTGAAGGACTCGCCCCGCTTCAGGTAACCGGAGAGGCTGCTCCGCGCCGGGCCGGCGTTACCCCGGAGCTGCCTTCCCCAGCTATGATGAAAAATGGCATGGCCTCATGCTATAGTTGGCCAGCTGGTCAAAGATTTATTATGTAAGACTTTAGACAGTGGAAGTGAGAAGGTTTAACCTTAACCTTTGATTATACTACTGAAGAAGAAATAGGTACAGTTACGATGATAGCTAACATTTGCTAAATGATTACTATGTGGTTCTGTGTTAAGTGCCTTTTGAGTTCTTACCTATTTCAACCTCCGGGCAACTCTACCAGATCAGTGGTGTTATCTTCATTTTATAGTGAAAAAGCTTGGAGGTAAACGCAGGAAGTTTGCCTCCAGACTCCCACGTAGAGCCATTATGCTGTTAGAAAGCCCTTACCTGTGCATTTTTTTTTTTTTATGGATACGCCTATGCTTTTTAGGCTGGGTTAAAACGTATACATTTAAATATAAGATGTCCATCATAGCTTTTACACTTAATGTCATTTTAGAATCAGAAGTATAGTAAATACCTGTGTTGTAGGATTAGTGTGAGGATCGGATGCTGAGTATCTTGCAGTGCTCCTAGAAAAACTGGATCAGAGGGCAGGTATTGCAAGCTGGCGTTAATTTGCCTGATTTTCAGAATCCTATCATTCTACAGCTGGCGACAGTTACTGAGAGAAATGTATCAGTAAGGAAGGAAAGTCTGTGGTTTTGAGAGCGGTTCCTCCCCACGAAACGCCCACATACCTGTCTAAATCCTGATCTTTCGATGCCCACCCAAATGCTAGCTAGCTCCTACGGGAAATAGTCTCGTTATAAGAAAAGATAAACGTGGGAGATATTTCCAAATTATTAATCCCTCAATAAGTGAGGGATTGATTTTATCATTAAAGCTACCCTGGCTTTTCTCCTGGCCAAAGTTTCTCTAAACTGAAAGGAAGCAGCGTTTAGCCTCTCTCTTCTTTTCATAATTTCTACTCCTAATCTCTTCAGATTTCTGCGAAAGCTGCCTTAAAAAGCAACTGTCTTTCCTCAGACCTGCAGGCGTCGGCTCCTCCGCGTTGGCAGCTCTGCAAGGTGGGGTTGGAGAAGCCGAAGAGAAGGCGGGGGCTCGGAGGACTGGGCGGTGCTCGGGCACGTGACTTCCTTCCAAAGGAGCCTCGGCTGCCGGCCCCCCAGCAACCGGTGCGTCCCGCCTAACGACGTCCGCGTATCCTGGTTGGCCCTCAGGGACACTTGTGGCAAGGTACCCACGGTCGCGCTGCTCATTGGCTAACGCTACCGCCGCTCAGGCGCGTTGCCCGAGCGCCCGCAGGCGGTGCTACCGGAAGCCCCTCCCATTGGCCTCCGGGTTCCTGGCTGGCTGGCGGAGGCCGTCAGTCCCGGACCTTTTCCTTGAGGCCGGTTTCTGCTGGGGGCGGGAGGAAGAGGGGCCGGACTGGGGCCTGACGTGCAGTCGCTGCCGTCGCGGTCTTCGCGGCTATTATGATCAGCGGGCGACGCGCCCTCAGCAGCTACGCCCAGCGCTAGTCGTGCCCGTTTGCTCGCCGTAGCCGTAGCCGTGTGGGTCTCCAGTGCAGCCGCTTCCGCGACTCCCCCGGCTCTTCTAGTGCAGCTTGCAAGGCGAGGCGGAGGCAGGATGAAGATGACGGTGGATTTCGAGGAGTGTCTGAAGGACTCGCCCCGCTTCAGGTAACCGGAGAGGCTGCTCCGCGCCGGGCCGGCGTTACCCCGGAGCTGCCTTCCCCAGCTATGGGGGCAAGAAATCCCGCCCGCAGAACGCGCGGAGGGCCCCGCAGTCCGCGCCTTCCGACGAGGCGAGTGGCAGCTGCCGCCTCTCCCGACCCGGAGAGAACACTGCAACCCCGACCGACCCTCGCTGAGGCCCGAGGCCAGGCCGGGCCGGGAGGGAGATGTCGCCTTCTCATCCCCCATCTTCTGCCTCTGCCCGGGGCGAAGCGCCCAGAGGCCAGGCGCACACCCGCTCCACGGAACTGGGGTGCAGCCGCGTCCCCAAAGACTCGTGCCCTTTGCGGGCGCGCGCGCTCGTCCTGTTCCTCTTGCTGCTCATCCTTTCCCCTTCCGCCCCTTCGTTTCCACCCTCACCCTGCCCCCGCTTTGAGGGAGCTCTCAGCGCACCCTCTGGTAGTACTATTTAGTTCCTCTTTGCGCTTTTCCGGCCCCCTAACCCCGGGGTGGAAGCGGTGGGGGGCGAACTGAGACCGGCTTCTGCTGCTTGCGTGTCCCCTGCCCAGAGGCGCTCTCAGGAAGGCGCTGGCGGTAGGTTTGCACTGGAGTCGGTGTGGGAGTGTTTAGACCAGCTGCGTTCTGTCGACCTTGATCCGAGACCCTGCATTTCTTTCCACTTAAGCTCTTTGAAGGGGGCACCGCTGTCGAGAGGTACTAGGCTGAGGACTAGGAGAAACACTGCATTTCTGTTTTGAGAACGGAAGTGGGAGGGCCCTGAAGATTGCGTTTATGTTCCTCTTCCAGCAGCGTCAGCCTGGGAGGGCCCGGATCACAGTTGGATGCTCCCAGAGAATCTGTCACACAAACTGACGTGGTGGCACTTTGATTCACAGGGGCTGGCCTCCCTCCCATGTGAGGCGTTAGGCCTGAGGGTGTCCACAATACTTTTTACATTTCGGGCATCCTAGGAAACTCCTGGATTGTTTTGGAGAATGCAGCTTTGCTAGGTTTTATTTTACAGTGCATTTACAGGGCTGTCTTTAGGCCTTGAAAAAAGAATACCTTAAAACTTCCGTTAGATTAGTGACATTTCTTGAAAGCTTGCCCTGATCATTGGGTGTGTGTGTGTGGCTGATCTTTAGGCCAAGCCTGAGTTGTAAATTCTTGTGTCCTCCTTGGGAACTAACTGTTGTCAGCTTTGTCACTTGTTAATTTGAATCCTCATTCTGTTTTAAATGAAAAGCAAAGATACGAATTGTAAACCTGAAGAACTACTTCTTAGAGAAAATTTAAGGGCATTTTGTGGTTTTTGCTTTTTTTTTGGTGTTAACTTGGAGCTTAGGGCTATTGTGAAAAGATGCACCTGATTTGATTGCTGTTGGAAGTTTTTGCAGTTTTCTGTGTTCTGCCTGAATTGAAGGACTCAAAGGAGACACAAATGGATTGTCTAGGCAGTTTTGCAGGTTAGGTCCTAGAACTGTGTGGCAAAAGAAGTAATTTTTAAAGTGTACTTTAGAAAGTTATGCCTTTTGTGAATTTTATTAATGTGACTCAGCTATTTTTTAATGAAGTAACAGCATTTTTTCCCTAGAAAATGTGGCTTGTTCTCCATTTGCTTCACATTTTCAGTCTGATTAAAAAAAAAACAAGTTGAGAGAAGTGATAGGGAAGTATTTCTAATGACTCGTGTTGGTCACAAACCATGTGATGTCTTTGTTTTTGAAATAAAGGAATCATTGAATATAAAATAAGAGGGAAATATAGTGATTAAGTTGTATGGAATATTACAGTGAACTTCTGTTTAACTTGGAATATAATATCTGTTCTATTTTAATTGTTAGAGGTTTTCAAGAGTTGTTTCCTGTATTCCAGTATTGTTGGTTGCAAAGTGGGGGGAGAAACCAAGATTCAGGGAACTCTAATATCTTGTATTCATTTTTGGAACTAGCTTAGATTACAGTAGAGGACAGTATGCCAAGAAATAAAAGTCTCTTCACTCATATTCCTAATTCTTCCCATTTTTCTATAGCCCTATTACTATGTGAGTTCGTATATCCTTTGAAAAGAATATTTCAGAAATCTTTTTATTCACATGCTTTATATACCTAAGAGAAACTTAGTATTGTGCATGTTTTGAGTTGTAAATTGAAAGAATAGAATATTTGTGGGGATTGGGCTTTTTTTGGTAGTATTTCTGCTCTTTTTAGTGTCATGATCCATCGTGCTGCTTTTAAACTAATTCTTATTTTCATTTTCCTGCACAAAGGAGTCTTGTGGCATTTAAGTCTGGCATGTGGACATAACTGCCTTGGGTGCTGTAGAATTAATACAAAAGGTGGATCACGATAAAGAATAATTTCACCAGTGTTCAAGCATGAATCTCCTGTTAAATTGATAAGGCAAACTGGAGAGGACTGAAATAGAGAAGGATATTGCAGTTTCAACCTTGTCTTTAGTAATTTGAATAAAGTCAGTGGTTACTCTTCCATTCCCAGAAACAGTTTTTTGTTTCTTTGTTTTTTAGATTGGAAGGCACGTTTGATTGTGTAATTTTGAGTTCCCTTCTTGGTTTTTTTAGTCTAAAGGTCAAAATCTTGTTCATCTAAGAATCTGCAAGAAAGTAAATGTGTCTTAAGAATACTTTTTTTAAGTGGGTATTTTCTATTTTGACCAACAGTTGTTGAGAAAGTTTGAAATTGGACTCTAAATTGTATGTGTAGTTGCTCTTTAAGATTTTATAAAATTTTAATGAAAGTTGTGCACTTCCTTTATTTAAACATATTGTGTTCACTCAGCAAGTGAATATTTTGTTTGAGATGAAGAGTTGAGTTGATCAGTGCCTTCTGAATTGTGAAAGATTTTTGCTCTAAGCAGTGCTCAAATAAGAAAATACTGACATTATTAAGTCTTCAAACACTTTAGTCTTTATCTGATACCTTTATTTTTTTATGCTTAGTTACGTTTATTGTATACCATTCTGAAGGGTTTTCACTTGCAGAGTCTATTTCAGATGTGAGTTGTCTTCAATAACTTAGGAAAAAATCTTAAAAAGGTATTTTGGGGTGAAAGTTTTTAATGGGTTAAAGACATTGGAATAAGATGTAAGCATGCATATATATATATATTATGTTACATTTTGCTGTTAAGCTGGTGTGACTTATGGTTGCATGGTTGCACTTTAATCATCCATCTTTAGAACATACATACTCTTAACTGGCACTTTATATGTGGAAATTATAGTGGGCAGAGCTTGAAGGGAAATATGTCTTCATCTCAGAAGTAGCAGAAGGGAATTATAAAGTAGTGTTATGAACCAAAATACAGGAATCCTGCTATTCCTCACTGCAGTTTGTAATTCTTCATTTAATGTAATATCAACTTAATTTGAAATAAAGAACAAACTTTTATAATGTGCCAGCTGTCATACTAGATACTTTAATAGCTACTCTTTCATTTAACATGAAAATAGATTGTGAGATGGGAATCATCCTCATTTTTTAATGCTTAAAAAAAAAATCCCAAACTTGGTATTTTGAGAAGTTAAATTGACTTCTTTAGGCTTTCAAATGGTGGACCTGAAAATGAATTCACTCTTTTACTCTGTGTCTCAATCCACATGCTCTAATTGCCTTCATTAAATTTGCATAGTTTGTTTAGTGTCCTTTATCATACAAAATTTTTTTTTTTTTTTTTGAGAGGGCATCTCTCATATTTATTGATCAAATGGTTGTTAACAACAATAAAATTCAGTATAGGGGGGTCAGCGCTCAATGTACAATCATTAATCCATCTCAAGCGTAATTTTCGTCAGTCTCCAATGTTCTGAAGCATAACGAACAAGTTCTTACATGGTGAACGAATTCTTACATAGTGAATAAATTCTTACATGGTGAACAGTACAAGGGCATTCATCACAGAAACTTTCGGTTTTGATCATGCAATATGACCTATAAACAATCAGGTCAAATATGAATATTCGTTTGATTTTTGTACTTGATTTATATGTTGATCCCACATTTCTCCTATTATTATTATT